CGAAAATATCAAAAGTTGACATATGATATATGTCATTCTATTCAAAATGTCATTTTCTATCGAATAAAGTAGAAATATACCGAGGGTGCCGTTTAAAAACCAAAAGTTGTACTCATTTCCGGTGAAACAGGAAGTAACCAAAAACAATTGTATACGTCAATAATTAATCCTAATTTAGGTCATATACTAACATACCAAATCCCGTTTTTTTGTTTGAAAAAATAAAAAAGTTACATAGGGTGAGCCACTTTTGGGACGTACCTGGTATATATTATACTATAGATACATAGATACTTTACGTAATAAATGGTATTTTACTTTCTAATTCTTTGTCGAGTGCTATTTTTTTCTTATAGGGAAGTTATTTGTGCAAATAATATATTGTATTTTTAATATTAGTAGTTTATAGGTAGTTACAAGGGTAATTAAGTAATTAATTTATTACAGGTATATATTTTATCAATTTATCTTAAAAGTTCTAAGTAAATTGTTAATAAACATTCTTTTAGTTAATAAAAGATTTAAAATCAGTAAAATAATACCTACTACTTCTATCTGGAAAAAATGTTTTATGTGATATTAACATGGAAATTTTTATAAAAGCATTTATACAGGGTGGTACGAATTGTATTAGGGAAACTCCGGCAGCATAATGTGCAGATAAAAATAAGTAAAACAGTTTATATAAATTTATGTCCTAAAATGATTCGTTTCGGAGATATAGGGTGTAAAAGTTTCATTTTTGTTTCGATTTTTTACAAATAATCTGAAGTCATGTAAATATTTGGATGAAAATTGGTATTTTTGACATGACAAATTGTATGACTCCTACTTGCAGGGGGCGTCACCTACAAAATTTTAACTCGTTTGAAGAGTATTAACTTTTCGTCTGTACCTGTATAAAACTACTGTTCTCTTGGTAAAAAGTGCTACGAGTAATGGTTCTTAAGATATTTGGAATCGAAATAATTAATACATGTCATTATTGACAAAAGTTAAACATGTTTACCAGATATTTATTAGACTCAAATAATAGATCTGAAATTTTTTTCTGATGAAAATATTTTATTATATTTTTTACTAGAAAAATTTATGATTAATTTAAAAAAAAGGCCCAAATTTATCATTTCAGTCAAATAACTATCTGGTCAATATGTTTATTTTTTGTTAGTTATGACATATGTATTAATAATTTCAATTCCACATATTATCTTGAGAACGGTTGCTCGTAGTGATTTTTACCAAGAGACCTTTTTTGCGTAGAAAATGGCGGAAATGAATTCACTCAGTAGTTAATAAAGGCACGGGCGAAAAATTATTACTATTCAAAACAGTACCAAAACATGTAGGTGCATGGTGCCCCCCACCCAAGTACGAGTCATTGTGAAATCAAAATCAAATTTCTTATGTCAAAAAACATCCAGAGACTAATTTTCATCCAAATATCGACACTCGTTCAGAAATTTTTGGAAAAAAATCGTAATAAAAATGAGATTTGAACACCCTGTACAGGGTGGCGCCTCACATACGTCCAAGGAGAACGACAGTTTGTATTGAAATGAAATTTTGTGAGCATATGTAGGTTAATTCAGAGTACTTTTTAAAAATATAGAGAGTTCTACAGGGTGTCCCCAAAAAAAGTTGCATAATATGAATGTTGTGTTTCTTGTAATGGAACATCCTATATATTAATTGATTTTCTGATTCTAGTAGAAAAATAAAGGTGAGTTTTATTAATGAAGTATATGACTAAAATGTAAGGTTTTTGACATATTTAACATTTTCTAAAAATGAAAAACAAATTTTAAATTTCAATGAAAGCTACATAAATTGGAATTTACCCGGTATAGCATAATATGTAGTTAAATTACCTATTGTACTTTAAATCCAATTAAAACTTGCTCCAAAAAGGTATATAGGGTGAGACAAAATTAATATTGAACTTTGGTCACCTTTAAAAGCATGTTACTCTTTTATTTTAAATGGCAATATTATAAACACCCGGTATATTATTCCGCTATTCAATGGAGAGTTCATGTCTCTTCAAAATACTATTAGGTAAGGTTGCCTAACCCTCAAACAAAGATTTTCCTAGATATTTTCATTTACATGATTTGATGAGAGCAGATCTTTATTATTTGATAAAATCTAGGTGGCTGGTGATATGTCTGACGTTACTTCAACATAGCTGTCCAATTAGTCCAACTTTAGCGACTAGTTATCATTTTATGTCAGTTAAAACAAAAAAAATTCTCAAAAATTTACCGAAAATGCAAACTTGTCCTACTTCAGAAAGAATTAATAGAATACTTAAATGCTCCTGATTTTATCTAGTCTGTTTTTTTATGGGGATATGTTAAAGACAGTGTTTAAAAAACTCGACCAACTATTGTCGACAACATGAGAGAAATTATTATAGCTGCTTTTTGAGGTAGAACTCCACATATACCTTTTAAAATGAAATAGTCCTGTTGAAAAGACAATCATTTTATGCAGTTAACAGGAAAGGGAGCATTTTATTTCATTTAGCTAATTTTTGTCACATAACTATAGGTTTATATCTAGTTTTAATTGGGTAATAATTAAAATATGTTTTAAAAGTGTAAAATCTTTTTATTACCGTTGAGTATTCTACTCTACAATCTTTAATTTTTGTTAAATTAACAAAAGGTATATCACAGCCACCTAGATTTTTTCAAATAATAAAGATCTACTGACGCAAAATCATAAAAATTAAAATATCTAGGAAAATTTTTGTCTGAGGGGTAGGCAACCTTAATAATATTTTGAAGATATATAAATTCCCCATTGAACACCGGAATAATACACTGGGTGTTTATTATATAAAGGAGTAACTTGCTTTTAAAAGTGACTAATGACCCACATTAATTTTGTCTCACCCTGTATAACTTTTCGGGTCAAATTTCAATTTGGTTTAACATACAATGGTTACTGTAATTAAATATCAGGCTATACAAGGTCAACTAAAATTTACGTAGCTGATATCGAAATTTAAAATTTACTCTTCATTTTCACAAAATGTGAAATATGTCAAAATACTTAGATTTTAGGTATATGCTTCTTGAATAAAACTTACCTTTATTTTTTTCCTAGAATCCAAAGATCAATTTATATATAGAGTGTTCTATTAGAAAAAAAAACACAACTTTGATGTGTAACTTTTTTTGGGGACACCCAAATATATTTTTATAAAATACTTTCAGGTAACCTACATATCGTCGGTGAAACGTGATAAACTGCTAACTCCATTATTCGTAATTTTACAGGAGAGCAAAAAAACGGTACAAAAAAATATGTACACATGTAGGAAGTATTTTGATGCGTTAATATGATAAAGAGATAAGAATTTTATTTGATGGTGAACAATAAAACTCAATATATCGTGTTACGTCATTTTTTTCAGACACAATAGGGAGATAGCAGATATTCGTCTTGCAGAAATAAGAAATAAAAATATACTTCTGGAGATAACAACTTCTATTGTTTGAAATTTCGAAAATGGAAATGAATATTACCCAAACAGATTTAGGAATTATCAATTAAATTTAAAAAATATGATATTCATAACCATATATTTATAATATCGTCAGTCTAGAAGCAAAACATACAAGTCCAAAAACGAATAAATTTTTAATAAAAATTTTACAATTTTTGGCATTTTTAAAGAACTGAAGTAGCAGAATTTTGGACTTAATGAATATGAAAATAATTTAAAAATTAAACTTATAATTCTTAGAAGATATGGTAGAATCCTTCCATGCTTATCCTAATTTTTATACAACGGTAGTAGACCGGGCTTGGAAGACTAGTGCGTGATTTTATTAAATTTTTATTATTTTTCTCCTTATTTTTTTAATTTTTATAAAAATCATAGATCATTTACGTGAAAAAACGCCGAAAAAAATAAAACTGATTAGGTATTATGGAAATTCTTGTACAAGTAAGTAATGTTATTTAAACTATTTATAGCACGCCGATGAATTGCTCGTATATAGAGAATTTCGTTTTTCCCCTTACCCTTTACGGATACCCCGTATTTACAGAACGGATCGACGCAGGATCGGACTGGCCATATTATATATATAACTATTAGGGGGGCCCCAGCCTTCGCGGGCCCCCTTTGTAGTTCATTATTTATTCTTAACAATATTTGCTTTTGCATTGCATTATGGCATTCGAAAAAAAATTCGCGCAAAAAAACTCATAATCGGGTTTCTTAGGTCAAAATATACTACCCTAAAAATATTTGCACTTATTTAAAACTCACCCTGTATATAATAGGGAAAAATTGACCAAAACGTAAGGCGAAAAAATACGCAAAAAAACACACGGGCCCCTCCTTACATTGCCACCCGGGTCCCTTTGGCCTAGTGCGACCCTGGATCGACGTCCTGTACTAAAAAAACAGACGAATAAGAATCTGTGTGTTTGCTTTAGCGTGATCGCAACGGAAATTACGGAGATAGCAGCATTTCGGTGGCTATTTCAGATTACTAGGAGTTAGCAGATATTATTGAGTTAAAATAAAAAAAAATCTTTAATGGGAAAAATGTGTTTGCTTTCCCTACTTGTAGAGTATTTTTTTCTCTTTCTAATGGTATAAAAAAACTTATTAACGTAAAAAATGGAGTTAGCAGGTTATCACGTTTCACTGACGATATGTTGCCAAAATTTCATTTCGTTATAAACTACCGTTCTCCTTGGAGCTTCCGCGGTGTATGAGAAGCGCCACCCTGTATATCCTAAACGAAGCATTTTAAAAATAAATTTATACGAACACTTTTACTTATTTTTATCTGCAGAATATGTTGCCGACGTTTCTCAAATACAATTCGGACCACCCTGTATAGTGCAGAGTTTAAAAGATTATAAAAATTTGTAAAAAAATCTTTGCATTAAATATGGTTTATTTCTATTAAATTGTGTTATACTTTTACCTAACTTTACTATAGGCATAAATAGAATCATAGATAACCAACCTTCTGTTAAGCAGTAAATTCCGAAAATACACAGCACGTTTACTAGAAAGAACACAGTCACTTTTATGCACATAATTTTTCGTTGCCCGCCGAATAAAGACGCTCACCGGTATAAGTTTAGTTACCATTTAACATGCTAATGAAACGATATGTTTAATATGCCTTGTATCTTTTATTCATGCCATGCGGTGTGCTCGACATCTATTGAATATTTTACGTCACGAACACTTTATACATCGTATCTATATAACAAGCTATAAATGGCTTACTTTGATTGTTTTTTTTGCTAATTTTGGTGTTTATATTTCTATAAATTGATTATTTAAAGTGTTATGTATGAATGAAAATGACTGTGTGTGTGTGGTCGTTGATGTTGAACACACGTTAAGCAGATTATTAAAGCACATAGAGACAACAATAGTGAGTCACGCAAGTTGTAAATTGAACTTTAAATTAAACACTACGTTAGATATATCCTTCACCGGGATCCTGTTATCAGGGCCGGACTTAACGAAGTTGCCGCCCGTTAAAAAAAATTTTAATTAAAAAAATTACGGATATAAAAAACATTTATTTGAATACAGGACCAACAACAGAATAGACCGACAGAACAGATCAACACAGAACATAAAATAAATATTAAAATATTCATATAAAATGACAACAAACGAACAACAAAACTATAAGGTTTGCTTATATGCCTATAAAGGTTTCCTACGTACTTTTTTGTTCGCAAAATTATCAATTACTTCATCGTAATTGATAGTTTTTAAAAGGTCGGACTCAATATGTAAAACTGCCAAATGATTTAGACGTTTTGTTTCCATAGTGGACCGTAAATAAGTTTTAATACGTTTCAATGCAGAAAACGAGCGTTCAGAAAAACAGTTAGTAATAAAAGTACATGTGAAGATTCTTAATGCTATGAAAGTATTTGGAAACAGGTCTTGAGCGTTTTTTTCATAAATTACTTTAAGAAGCTCTCTAGCAGATGGTTTTGCTGACTTAATGCATTTTATAAATTCACGAAAATGTATTAATTCATTAGGCATTGACTCATCTAAATCATTTGGATTACAGGTTATTAAATGTCTGGACTTATCGGTAATGTTGTCAATACTTAAAGTAGATAAATCACTAAAGAAACCAAATTTGGTTGAAAAGTCATTGTAGGCACTTTTCCTGTAGGAAATTTCAAGGATTAATTTATCAATAATAACATTAAATACATTTATCCTAAAATCGTCCCTAGTGTTAAATAGAGTTTCATTATCAATGGTTTCATCAAATTGTCGTTTCCGTTTCACTTTTCTCTTTTTATCTGCCGCATATTCTTTCTCACCGAACAATTCTATGGCCCTTCTTTCATATTCCTCAAATGATTTAATATTATCTAGATTTCTAATTTTAGAAAAAAATATTTTTCCAATGAGCTATAATATCTGCAGCAAGTTGTAGATCAATATCTACCATTTGAAGCAGATTTTTTTTTTATTGACCGCATCTAATCTATTTAAAACGTCTGTCCAAAATACCGCCATAAAACCCATTTCTAGGAATTGTTTAAGGAGACTAGAAGCATCCAATCGGGTTTTAGGCTTTTCGGTATCGTCTTCAGAAATTGACTCCAACGTGAATTTTATTTCATTGGAAGACAAAGAGAGTGATTGGCAAGCTTCATTTCGTGCAGACCAACGTGTTTTTGATAAATTTTTTAGTGTTTTTGAATTTATTTTTTTTATATTCGAGGTATTTATGTATTTATTAACTGGATGCATGGCACAATGCAGTAAAAAATAACCCAAACGAATTATATATTTAAACAATAATAATAATTAAGTAAATAAATATGTAATCGGCTAAGGCTGTATTCGAAATATTTTATGAACAAATAAAAGTTAAAAAAAAAGATAAATATTTTGGTATGCTCAAAACTTGCAGCTCCTAAAAATCTGTCGCCCCAGGCCCGGGCCTAGTTGGTCTAGACCTAAGTCCGGCACTGCCTATTATTGGTTGAAGCATGATGTTATAATTTTAAATTTTTGCATTTGATACTGAAAAGCAACCGAGTTTATGCATCAATCAGTTATTGATAAAATGAGGTGTTTCTTAAAAGTGGCTCACCTCTATAACTTTTTTATTTTTCCAGATAAAAAACGAGATTTGGTATGTTAGTATATGACATAAATTAGGATTGAGTGACGTATTCAATTGTTTTCGGCCGCTTCCTGTTTCGCTGGAAGTTACTACTAACTAGAAATTTTTCATTTTTAAATGGTACCCTTTATTCGATAGGAAATGACACTCGTTAATAGAATGGCATATCGCATGTTAACTTTTCATACTTTCACTTAAAAATATCGTATTTAAATTTCAATTTAGAGTGCCATATGGGTTGTGTTAAAAACACTAATTTTTAATCACAGACCAAGGATATATAGAATCAGAGTCCTGGGGATAAATATATTTGATCGTCTAATGTTTTTCATGTCCTTGTACTGGCCGGTTAAAAGATGCTCAAATCGTATTTTTAATAATATATCAACTTAAAATCTCTGACGAGGGGTAGGGGACCCAAAAAATTCACAATCTTTTAGGATGTTTATTTCAAACTTGTGATAAAAATAATTTTTAACCAATTTTAATTTTTTTTGACCTTTTGAATTTGTTTGTGATTTTATTTTATAACCGGAATATCTGTATGACTGTATTAGAATTGTTTAACTATTCTGATTGTAATTTGATTATTTTAGCTTTCTGGGCCTGAAGATGGGAATTAAATGAATCCTGAAACATGTCGCCCCAATTTTAAATCAAATTAAATTTTGAAATAAACATCCTAAAAGATTGTGAATTATGAGTTTTTTGAGTCCCCTACCTCTCGTCAGAGGTTTTACATTGATATGTACTCACACTAGGTAGGAAAACGTTTAGTACCTAATATATCAATTTTTTCAAATGGAACGAGGCGAGGATGGCTCATTAGCATATCTGGAAAAATATTTTTTTAATGAATAATTTAGTATTACACACTTGGTATTTCGAGTCAAGTGGTCGTTATGAACCGCATGTAACAATTTCAAATAAATAATTTTCGAAAATATCAAACGTTGGCATATGATATGTTATATTCAGAGTATCTATCGAATAAAGTAAAAAAAAATCCGAGATTGTTATTTGAAAATCAAAAGTTGTAGCCTTATCCTAAGGAAGTGTCGAGTTGCATAATTCCACAAAATAATGTAATTTTCCAAAATTGTTTAGAGATTTAATGATTATACTATTACCAAACAATACGATTTTTACAATTACCGGTGCGTATTTACAAATGAAATTTAGACCAAAAATACTGTATGATCGAAAAAAAAAACGGCGTCCAGTTAACCTGGAAATGACGATCGATGACATTCCCCATATAATCTATACTAATATATAAAAAAACAAACCAAATCCTTAAGTGACTGACATACTGATTAATCACGATCCTGCTCAAACCACTCAACGTAAGAACACAGAAGCTCAATTTTGGCATACAGCTTGATTCTAGGGTGTAGAGTGTAGAGGTTCGATAAGAAGGGATTTTTCGAAGTTCCAGTTCCAAGAGGGTGAAACCACCCCTCAAATATTACAATATTTTTTATTTAAAAAACGGTCGTTTCCGAAAAAACGCTTAAACTTATATTTTATTTTGTTTTTGTACATATTTTAAGATTTTTTAAAAATGTATCCCTGTATACAAGAGCCTTGTTTCGAAAAATCTGGTTTGATTAATCATCCTGCTTAAAGCGCTTGACGTAAAAAGCTGAATTTTGGAAAACAGATTGACTTTAGGGTGTAGAGGTTCAATAAGAAGGGATTTTTCGAAACTCGAATTCTAAGGGGGTGAAACTATCTAAGGGGGGTTATTCTGCTTAAACTGCTTGACGTTTAAAGATGATTTTTGGCAAACGAATTGACTGTGGGGTGTAGAGGTTCAATAAGAAGGATTTGTCGAATCTCAAATTCCAAGAGAGTGAAAACGCCCCTCAAATATTCCCTCAAATATTACAATATTTATTTAAAAAACGGTTAGTCTTTCGGGAAAACGCTTGGACAATCATACAGGGTGTTCTAAAAAGTTGGGTAATTTCTTAACCACGATTCTGCTTAAACTGCTTGACGTCAAAAAAGCTTATTTTTAGCAAACGGATTTTTCGAAAGTCAAATTCCAACGAGATGAAACCTGTACCCCTCAAATATTATCAAGTTATATAATAATATCGCCATATTGTTTTTTCTCATGCTGACATAAATGTGAGAAAATTTTATCCAGTTTGTATGTTAATGGAAATTCTTGCATCACCATTACAAATGATTAATTCGACGCGAACGAAGTCGCTGGTACACCCTAGTTTTACATATAAAAAAATCTTCATTTCATGCCATCGTTTTACCTGTTACACAAAACTGACAGATAAAACGTTATAAAGATGTGACTTAAGCATAAAGCCTTTATTCACATTTAATTACTAAACACCTATTGCAAGAGTAGTTTTTTAATGTGTTTTCTGAATATTTGTAATATTTACTTAAAAGTTAATTATACAGTTACTACTAGAGAATGCAACCTAGAGATCAGAAGAGATCAGAAAAATTCTATATAGGCTTGGTGCATTTCAGCTGATTTCAAAATATTCCGACCGCAGAGCTGTATACGGCAGAAATCAGAAATTTCACGTCGCGCCGTCTCGGTTATCTTGGTAAAAAATAAGTGAAAAAGAATCTGAACTAGGCATCATGTTGTGTTGTGCCAATTTCAAATGTTAATAAAATTGCCAAAAAAAAATGTTAACTCGTAAAGCAGAGCGTAATTAGGGCGTTGTTGGGTGCAGTAACATTCAGTAATTCAACTATCCCGAATATTAAACTCTCCCGAAACAGGCAGCATTTTATAGTATTTATAGTTTCATAGTTTCTCACACCGATTTGATGAAAACCAGTTCGAAGAAACAAGTTAGTAAACAAAGTGTTCGTTGCATATTCAAAAAGTTAAATAGACATACCGTGCTGGCAACTATTAGTTTTAGGTCGGCATTTACATGTGTGGAAGTAAATCGCATAGGGATCTTATTAAGTCGGAGTGAGAGAAATGCGACCGACCGACGCGACGCGCGACGGTGTGCTGTTGCGGCGTTGCCGATACGCCTTTCCCTATCAAGTAAAGTAAAGTCACGATCGCAAACCGCTTATTTTTAAAAGACTTTTTTTTCAAAAGATAACTAGATAAAATCATTAGACATGTTTCTGAGCATCTGAAATGGAATTATAAGGATATCGTTAGGGTGTAATTTTTTTATAACGAGAAAACGTCAGTAATCGCGATAATTTAAAAACTCAACTTTTTAACACATAATAGGCCATAACTCAAGAACCACTTT